CCCAAATTAAAGATGGACAAAAGATCTGAACAGATACTTTGCCAAAGAAGATATACAGATGGCAAATAAGCATATGAAAAGATTTTAAACATCATATTTCACTTGGTAATTACAAATAAAAGAATATAGCTCCCCGTTTATTTTTTTCTTTAGTGTCTTGATGCAATGGATTGCATTAATTGATTTTCAAACACCAAATCAGTTCTCAGATACCTGGAATAAATCCCACTTGGTTGTGGTGTATAATTATTTTTATATAGTATTGGATTATATTCGCTAATATTTTGTTGAAGACTTTGCGTCTATGTATATGAGAGATACTGGCTTGTAGTTTTTCTTCCTTGTAATGTCTTTATCTCGATTGGGTATTCGGGTGATATTGACCTCCCGGAATAAGTTAGGAAGTATTCCCCCTGCTTCTATTTTCTAGAAGAGATTGTAGGGAGCTGGTATCATTTCTTCCTTAAATGTTTGATAGAATTCACCAGGGAACCCATCTGGGCCTCGTGCTTTCTGTTTTAGAAGGTTATTAACTATTGATTCAAATTCTTTAATAGATAAGGGCCCAGACCATCTATTCCTCTTTGTATAAGTTTGGGTAGGTTGTGTCTTTCAAGAAATTGGTTCATTTCATCTAAGTTATCAAATTTGTGGACAGAGAGCTATTTATAATATTCCTTTATATATCATTATAAATATATAAAACAATAATATAATTAATATATAAATTATAAATATAAATTTTGTATAATATATATTTGTAAAATAAATATTTTATATATTATAAATACATAAATATTGATATGATATAAAATATATGTTATATAAATATTTATATAACATGTTTTATAGCATATAAATATGAACATAAAATATTTCATAAATATTCTATTTTATATATCCATGGGATCAGCTGCGATGGCCTCTCTTTCATGTCTGATATCCATAATTTGTGTCTTCTCTCTTTTTTTCCTTGGTTACCTACTAGAGGTTTGTCAGTTCTATTGATCTTTCCAAAGAACCAATTTTTGTTTTCTTTGATTCTCTCTATTGTCTTCAATTTCATTCATTTCTGATCTAATTTTTCTTTCAGTTCTTCTGTCCATGTTAGGCTTATATTGCTCTTCTTCCTCTAGTCTCCTAAGGTAGAAACATTGATTATTGATTTCAGATCTTTCGTCTTTTCTTATGTATGCGTTCAAGGCTATAAATTTCCCTGTAAGCACTACTTTCACTGCTTCCCACAAATTTTAAGTTGTATTTTCATTTTCATTTAGTTAAGATAATTTTTAATTTCTCCTGAGAGTTCCTCCTTCACTGTGTGTTATTTAGAAGTGTGTTGTTTAATCTCCAAATGTTTTGGGATTTTCCACCTATCTTTCTGTTACTGATTTCAAGTTTACTTCCATTGAGAGCATACTCTACATGATTTCTATTCTTTTAAATTCATTGAGGTGTGTTTTATGGCTCAGAATGTGGTATACTGAGTGAGTGTTCCATGTCAGCCCAAGAAGAACGTGCACCTTGTTGTTGTTGGGTTAAGTGTTCGGTAAATATCAATGAGATCTTGTCGATTGATGGTGGTGTTCAGTTTAACTATGTCTTTACTAATTTTCTGCCTGCTGGCTCTGCTAATTACTGACAGAGGATTGTGGAAGTTTCAGCTATCATACTGGGCTTATCTATTTTTCTTTGCAATTCTATCCATTTTTGCCTTGTGTATTTTGGCACTCTGTTGTTAAGTGCATACACATCAAGAATTGTTATGTCTTTTTGGAGAATTGCCCCTTTACCATTATTTATGGCTCTCTTGCTTTTTTGTTTGTTTGTTTGTTTTTGTTTTTGTTTTTGAGTTTTGCTCATGTCACCCAGGCTGGAGTGTAACGGCTTTGTCTTGGCTCACTGCAACCTCCACCTACTGGGTTCAAGCGATTCTCCTTCCGCAGCCTCCTAAGTAGCTGGGATTACAAGTATGCGCCACCACGCCCCGCTAATTTTTGTAGTTTTAGTAGAGATGGGGTTTCACCATGTTGGCCAGGCTGGTCTCACACTCCTGACCTCAGGGGATCTGCCCGTCTGGGCCTCCCAAAGTGCTGGGATTACAGGCATGAGCCACCGCACCTGGCCTAATGCTCCTCTTTATCCCCAGTTTTTCTTGTTCTGAAATCAGCCTTGGCCGCAGTTAGTATGGCTACTTCAGCTTGCTTTTGTGTTTTCATATTTTGGGTGGTAAAGTGTTTGGCAAAAATCTGGAAAGTGGATAACAGCACAGACATTTGAATCAGGCAAACCTGAGTGCAAGCCAGGTGACTTGTCAAGCTGGGTGACTTTGGGTAAATTCATTCTGTGCCTCAGTTTCCCTATCTACCAAATGGGAAACTATCTCTAGATTGTTGTGAAGATGAAATAGGACAATGTAATAAAACACTAAGCAATTTCCTGGCTTGTAATGTGTAAGTAATATGTTTTATTGTTACTCTAGTATACATATTAATATATTCTATTATTAATATAAGCTCTTGATTGTTATATGATGGAACTTTAGATGTCTAAGTGCAAGTACTTTTATATAAAAACTGGACAGGGCACCCTGAGAAGATAAACTTAGAAAGTAATTGCGAAGTCTCAAGTGGCATGGATGTCTGGTTGACAGTGCCCTTAAAAGATGAAGACTTTGGCAAGGCACGGTGGCTCACACCTGTAATCCCAGCACTTTGTGAGGCCAAGGAGTGCGGATCACGAGGTCAGGAGTTTGAGACCAGCCTAGCCAATATGGTGAAACCCCGTCTCTACTACAAGTACAAAAATTAGCTGGGCGTGATGGCACACGCCTGTAGTCCCAGCTACTCGGGAGG